AAACAGTCAAACAGCTCTACATCTCTATAACAATAAGAAACAGTCAACAAAAGGACACGTTCCATTTAAATCTCCGGAATCTCTAAATTTGGATTCTTTACTCCTCTTCAATGAAAAGCTATCAAACTTCAGTTATTGCCACTATAAGAACAGCTGTTACAGAGGTGATTGGACTGATGGGACACACTGCTAGTAGAAATACAGATTGATCCTAAATTTAGAAGCACAGGACGTTGAGGAGATAGATTCTAATTTGTCGTTCTCTAACTAAGAACTGGTGTCAAATCTGACCCTGTTGTTCTTCTTTCTTCAGAAATGCATGGAGACCAAAAACACCATCCTGGCTCGTCAGAAAGACATGCATCTTTCCCTGGAGAAAGTCAAACACCTGATTCGCCTCATCCAAGCCTTCAATTTCAACCAAGCTCTGGCGGAGACAGAGGGTAAGGACGTCACTGCCAGAGTCCAGGACAGTGCTGAAGGTGCAGTCTGCTCTGAAGCCTCACCAGAAGCCAACTCTGTAGAGAAAGTGAAGGCTGGAAGCCCCTCAACCAGCAGCAACACCGATGGAAACGACAAACAAGAGGAGCACGGAGCCGCCACGAACAACCAGACGACGGGAGCAGCAGCAGGAGACACCGACAGCCAGGTTGTCCTAAAAGACAGCGCAGTCCTAACGGCAGAAAACAGCCCCGATGGAGGGGCAGGGGGTAAGGCAGGGCCTGGTGACGGGGCAGGGGGAGGCGGAGACACAGGGACTAGTGTCCAGGTGGAGGTTTTGGCCAAGCCTGAGACTGAGGCCACTCCGGTGGTTGACATTCCCGCTTCCTCAGTGGTTGCGACTGAGGCCACCACCAACGGTACGGCCGAGCCGGCCTGCCCCGACGTCAGCCCCGCAGGAGCCTGCTCCAACAACGCCACCGCCAACTCTGAGAACAAGATGACTGCCGTCAACCCTCCAGAGACAGCGGTGGAGAAGAAGCAGGAGGAGATCACTGACAGTGACAGCAGCAGCAGCAACAACAACAACAGCAAAACCTCAGAACCCTCCCAGCATTCTTTGCCAGCTCTTGTCAGCAATTTGGACAATAAAAAGTAATGCTCCTTCTCTTGAGTTGCGGGAATTCAAACATATATATATAAAAAAAAAAGACTTTTGCTTGCACCAGAAGGTGTCCTGAAGTTGCCAATCTGTATAAATGTTGTTTGTTTGCATTGTATTGTCAGACTGTGTCAATGGTAGATATACAGCCCAAGTCACATGACTCTGGGAAGACGTAGGCTGCCCCCCCTCCCCACAGAGCTGGGGTACAGGAAGGCTTACGCACCAGTGTCATCGTTGCCAATTAGTGATAGACGTCAGTGGTGGGAATGCTCAAAGGGAGATTTAGTTCATCATCACACCAGTGTGTGCCTGTTATAGTGGCCCCTGTGTTCTCTGGTGGGGTGGGAAGATGGGTTCACATGGGTTCGGAGAAAACGGAGAACATTGAACCAAACATCTGTCAGGGGTTACTGGTCTAAAAAGCAGTGTTGTGATAGAGTACGAGTACTGAAAAGAGAGCCTGTTCATCCCCTCGTCCCAATGGACTTAATGTGAACAACCTTTATATTCTGTAATCCTTCGTCCCTGCTCTCCCCTTCCTTTGAATAGCCCTAAACCAATAAGTCTTATCCATAACCCCTACCCCTAGACCTCCCTATTAACCAACATCTTTCACCATTTCCAGTCCATAAAAAACTTAAACCTTTCCCAACCAGTTCACCAACAATCCAATGTGACCTCCCTCTTTAATCCGTACACTTCAAACGAACTGGTTCATACCGGGTGACGCATGAACACGTCTAAACGCAAAATGCGATGAATTCAATTCAAATGGGATTATAGCACACATGTTGGTCCTCGGAGGAATTCATGGTGTTGCACGTGTTTGTACACACCAAACAAATAAAGAGAGATTTTGGATCGTTGGTTTCAGAAAGACAAAAATTGTTAGAATCAACAAATACAACCTTAGAAAATGTGTGTTACGGTAAAATGACGGTATGCTTCAAACACAAAGCATACCGAGGCTTTTAAATCGACTTCACTAACTAGAGGATGAGATGCGATGAATCCTGGTAAATGTGAAACCTGGACTTACCTTCCCCCAGTCCACCGACAACCGTAGCATCCCTTTTTAATGCCAACAACCTAACTCAACATCCTTAACCCAATGGACCAATGACCTACCAACCAACAATCCCAGTTCACCTTGCCTCCCCCTTCATTGAAACCAGTTCGTATAAAGTGCGTATCCACTCTTTTTAACCGACAAGTTACGCTGTCTTTAGTCAACAAAAAAGACAACCTTTCCCATTGATCAATAGTGACGAATCCCAAACTTACCTTGCTCCAGTCCACCGATGGTCCAACGTGACCTCGTTCTCAACGACTCAGTATGGTTAAAATATAATAGAGCCCCCAGGTTAATAAGCCAAACTCAAAGAGATGGAGATAACAGAGCACACTTTGGGGCAATCTCTCATCTAACACATTCATGGTGTTGCCCGGTTGTCAGTCTCACCACCTTGTTGAGTTAGTTTTTGAAAAGTTTTAACTAACTAACTTTCATATCAGTCTACGACTATAAACCACCTTCATTCGACCAAATGGCGTCAACCTTCCCCCGTGATTATAAGCCAAACGTACAGTCCCCAGTTCGTCAACGATCCAATCTGACCTTGAACCAACCCTCACCCAATAAGACACCAAATGTCCCAACAACCTCAGTTAACTCCCACCCCCCCATCTCTTCCCCACCTGTACCCCTGAGCTCAGGCAGAACAGATACCTGGAGGACGAGGTGGACCAGGCGCGGTAGTCTTAACAGATGTGTTCAGTAGTGTCGGTTAAGTGTAGTGATTGAGTTTTTTCATTCGTGAGTCAAGTGTGTCAACTGTGAGCACTAAATGTGAAATTGCAATATTGCAATGTCAACACACACACACACACACACACTATATCTGGGCTGTGTTTCTTTTGTATAGGAAAAGATATTCAGGTCTTCCTAGTCTTCAGAATAAGTGCTTTCTGTTCCTGAACCTGCTGTACTGGCATTACCAACACAGAAAGGAATCCTCTTTTTGAAGTGGTGGTCTTTGCATTATTGTACATTTCCGTTGAATCCTGAACTGCCAAAATGATGTTGTATCCAAATTCAGCGGGGACGAGTCCACTGTTACTGTATTGAAAGATCAAATCATTGGCGTTGTAAGATATAGATGCTACCATTTCAGAAATTGGAAGTCCCCAGATTTAAACAGGAGCTTATGAAAACAATAACATGAAAAGGAACTTTTTGTCCTTGAAAGTGGAGGGATTTGTTGTATGAACCTGCTCCTTCAGACGGATCTCAAAGGACAATACCACAAATCCTGACATTAAAGCACAAGCTTGCTGCATTACAAAGAAGTGCTGAAGAGCTTTTTGTATGTTAATATGGAATTAAACAGAGTATGCATCTCTTTGTTGTGATGTGACTTATCCCCACATTGCCAATATTTTTCTAGGAGGAGACCCAAACCTCTGACATTGAGGCTGGTTCATATTTTTTGGGGGAGGGGCTGTTGAACCCCTCACAGTTGGACTGGTTCATGGAGCACGTCTGGGCTGAGATGTGATGCTGGTACTCGTTGGCTTGGTGGCTGTCGGTCTTTGTCTGGTGAACTGATCATGACTTCTGGCTTCTCGTTGGGTTCGGGGCATTCAACAAACTGGTCTTTTCTTTAACGGTGCCTCCGGTTGCGCTTTTTCTTTTTTTACTTTTTGCAATATTGGAGGGAGTTTGCTTTAATCGTTGTCGTCCAAAAATGTATGCACCCGAGGAGCCTCTGAAGATGTAGAAGAAGATCTCAAAATACTTTTATCTGTTATGTGTTTTTAGCCATGCTAGCAGAGTCGCTCCACCACTTTAGACTGAAATATCTCTACAACTATTGGATAGGTTAGCATGTTAGCATGCTAACATTAGCTAATTGGAGGATCAACAAAGTTAATAGGATTTTGTAACAAACTGGTTGCCAACCAGGAGATGTTGTGATATTTCACAGGATAAATTAAAACAATATTTGTAGTAAATTACATTAAAGTTGTTGAATGTGGTAAACGTCAGCATGTTAGCATGACGTCATTGTGAGCGTGTTAGCATGCTGCTGTTAGCATCTATCTGAGCTGTTAGCATGGCTGTAGACTCTGGTCCTTTACGTGCTCATTAACCGTGAGGGTGAATACGTCGTTGGCTAACTTTTAAAGTAAACGCCGTCTCTTTTTTTCATATCATACGGACTCTGGAAACGAATCTGCATATCTTGACTCGAGACCCTAATTCTTTCTTGTCATCAGAAAAAGAGATTAAATCTGTAACATCTCCTGTTTGAGGCCACAGCGTCGTCTTCATGAATCCCATTCATTGTGTTTTGTTCTCGTCGTCTTCTTCTTCTTCTTCTTCCTCCTCTCTTTTCGTTGATCGAGCCCGACCTCGTGTTCCAGACCAGCTGGACCCCCCCCCCCCCTCTGTACAGTAGGTACCTCGAGTGCCTTTTCTTCAAACAGCAGATAATATTTTGTCTCTTGACTTGCACTGTGACTTGTAGAAACCTTACTAACCCCCCCCCCCCCGGTCCATCCAGACCCAACCGAGACCCCGTCCCCCCCGTCCCCCTTTCACCTCAGGCTGCCAGGTAGTCGATGCAAGTGGAAACTACATTTCATATTATGCCGTTTAGATCGACCGGATAGTGTTTCTGTTGTTGTTTATTATAGGAGTTGCCTTAAATGTGATTTTATTTAACTTTTCTTTTTCACGTGACGTTTAAAAAAATAAAAGAATCACTGGAGGTCAGAGGTCGTCAGTGAAATGGTCCAAAGAGGGATTGATGATGATGATGATGATGATGAGATCTTTGGTGTGACAACCAGTTGTTTTGTGATGCACTTTTGGTTTGACCAGTATTATTATAATTATAATTATAATTATAATTATTATTATTATTATTATTATTATTATTATAAATATCGGAATGTAAACATGGGGTTGTGTTAGTCCGGACTCAGTTCCCTCTGTGCTGTGGTTCTTCTTCTTCGTGTGTTTTTCGGAGGGTTACTACACTTTTGCTAAATCGTAATAAGTCATGTGAACAAACTCCCCCCCCCTCCGACGGGCCGACCTTTGACCCCCGTTAGCAACATCTGTCCACATCTGTGGGCCGCATTGCCTTCTTATGCAAATTTTTATACAACGGTTGTCAAACTTTTTTTTTTTTTTTTAAATATGCTTTTTGTTCTTTTATAGTTTGTATGTGAACATTCAGAAGTGGTCATCTTGTTGCTGACATCGTGTTTTTAGATTTGAACTAATGCACCATGCTGGGGGTGGGGGGTCCTCGGTCTCTATTTCGTCTAAAAGTGAATTTACCCAAAGAACACGTGCAGAACGTTTGTGTTTGGAAGCCTCGTGTGTCGTCATATCATTAAATACAAAAGTTCTACATCAGCATCGTGTTCGTTCGTCCAGCTGGAGGAAGAAGAAGAAGAAGAAGAGGAGGAGGAGGAGGAACGTGTGTTCAGTTTGTGTTTGACGAAGTCTTGTATGCATTTTAAACAAAAAACAACAATAACATGGTCGCGGCCCTTAAAAAAACGACTCCTCCGGTGTTTTTCTTCTTCTTTTAAAAAACGATGAGTCATGATTGTGGCCTTCTAGTATTCTGTCGGTTCATGACATCATCATGACATCACCATCCCATCTTGTCCGGATCCAACTGTTCACCTGAAGCTTCTTTACCTCATCCACAGATGATCCCATGGGGGGGGGGCAACAAAACAACAACAAACAACAAACAAGATAAATAAAAAAGAGAAGAAGTCTTTTTCTAATCTTCCATTTGGTGAGATGCATTGTAGCGATATGAATAAAAAGTTCACCTGGTGTGCTGAATACATGTGTAAATTGGTAATTACACAATCTGAATATTTGTATAATTGTTTGTATTTTTTCATAATGATTTTGAAAGGAATGTGTTTATTTTTTGACTTGTGTTCCAGATGTGTCTTCTGTTGGCCTGACATTGTGACTGGTGGGATTCTTACCTCTGTATTGAGCCTCTTCTGTGATGAATTCTTTGTATGCAGTGTTTAGGAAATACTGGCAACATGGGACGAGTTGATATTAGGAGCATTTGATCAATTTGTATTTATTTATTTTATCATTTTGTTAATAAATTGTGAAAAGCAGCGCATCTCCATTGTTTTATAGGTTTGAACAACTTTGACTCACAAGTATTCACTGATGAACATATGTGAATATTATTTAACATTTCTGGTAATAGATCCTCGTAAATATTCCTTAAAACCTTCTGACGTGATTAAATTTACAGCACATTAAACATTTTAGGTACAATAATACTTAATATATAAATAAATATAATAACAGTTAGGGAGCATTTTGCTGCTTTTTGACTACATTTTCCCAATTGCACTGCAGGACTTTTAGTTGATGAAATATTTTCATCGGATTTTTTTTTAATCCGATGAGGTTCTTCATTGGCTGTCCTCAAAGATAAACGAAGCTTTAATAAATGTACCGAGTCACAGAAAGAGGAAAGTGTTGGAGTCGAACCCGCTCGCTGCGGTGTTGATTCACCTCATCTTAAGAATGTTTAGAGAACACTTCCGGTCTATATAATCAACGACGAAAAGCAGAGTGGCGCAGCGGAAGCGTGCTGGGCCCATAACCCAGAGGTCGATGGATCGAAACCATCCTCTGCTAGTTTTGTTTTTTGTTTTAATGACTGACGAGTAAAAACGAAACAGTCTCATTTTATTCATCTTTACAGTAAACTACGAACAGTTTGTTCTTAATACAATAAAACGTACTTGTATACTATTGATAACATAAGACATTTATGAATGTAGAATGGCTTTTTGAAAGAAAATCAATACCAACTTTAATGACTTTGACTATGACTATATTTTAT